GTTAACACACTTGCCAAATGGAGCGGTTGTCTGCTGAAGCAGGATGCTTGTGGCATAGCAGGATTTATTTAGAAAAGTAGAAAATCATCTATTACCACCAAGTCAATCAAATACAGCAAATCCAAGACATATATTTGTCTTTTGGTGGGAAAAAAAGACATGCTTACATACAAGCATTTATAATACGATTAAACTATAACGAGCGAAAGCTAAACAAATGCCAAAACTTTCGTATGGATCTTTCCTTGGGATTTTGACTCACTCCAGAATCATATAAGTGGATACTTTTTCCTGTAATTACAGAGGCTTTCTTCTTGTGAAAACCTTCCCGTACATTATAGAAACTAGAAAAAAACATAGAAAGAACTAAAGCTGTCTAACTTTAGAAAACTAGAAAACTCGGAAAGAAGAACTTGTCCCGACATGATGCTTTTTTCCTGCTCCTTCCCACTCCGTTCGCCTTTGGTGTCCCATCTTTTAGATGCTAAGTCTGTGGGCAGGGATTGTCTCATGATTCATCTTCATAATCTGCTTTAGGAGCCTTTTTTGGCTGAAGAGCAGGGTAAAACGTCACCACATGCATGCGTGTGTGCACCCACCCTCCGAGCACGTCTGCTTTGTCAGCCCTGACTGCTCAAGAGGGCAGGTTAAAAGGGGGCTGGAAGCACGCATTGTGTACATCAAGTCTCGCATTCAGCCAACAGCATCTCCAGCTCATATGACGTGAAGCAACAGGGCCGAAGAAGCACTTTTTCCGACATGAAACCTCCGAAAATTGCTGCTGGGCAGTTCAAAGTTAAGCAGGGTCCTTTGAAGAGGGCAGCCTCGTGGCCGGTCCCCATGCGGCTCAGGTGGGGCGGCAGTGGCAGACAGGTAGGAGAAGGTTAGGGTTAGGGAAGATGCTCGGGAGAAGACCTTCATGCCTGGGAAAGCCAAAGGCTGAAGAAGAAGAGGAAGAGGGAGACCGAGCAGGAGATGGTGGACTCCGTGAAGGAAGCCACAGCCGTGACCCTCTGAGCTCAGCATGACTGCAATGGACGGGATTTGGGAGGGCTGTCATGCACAGGGTCAGCGTAACTCGGGGATGACTTGACTGCACAAAGCAGCAGCAACGGTGGAGGGTCTCATTCAAGATCGGGCAGCTTCAGGTGTGCAAACGAAGATCGGTCGACTCCACATGTGGGAATTCAATCATAGAGTGCATGCTTGCCGTGTTCCATCTTCCCTACCCCCCAGCATCCACAGCTAATGCATGGCAGGAAAGAACTCTGCCTCAGCTCTTGGAACCGTCATCAAAGCACCAGCCCATCTGATGCGATTTTGGAAGGGTTTGTGCACATGTATACATGTAACAGTCATCGTGTCCCGAAAACTAGCTCAGGTCTTTGCAGTCAGCTGTGAATTAATCGGCTGCATATTTCCTGAGCCAGAATCACATTGTTAATTGCTTCTGGGAGTTTTTCTTGTCAAAATGCAGCATCTGTAGCAGTTAGCGAGCGGGACTGGAGCAGAGTGGGGGAACACAATGTCTCTCCGCCAAATAATCCTTTACGTTCTTAGCAAGGATTAGAAGGGATGGCATTGCGGGATTTGCCTCCTCTGTGTGTGGCTTTTGGCATTTCAGTGTAATGGACTAATTGCCTGATGTGATTGTGAATAAATTGCTTAATGCCGTTCTCTTCCACCTCCCCACCCCCGCCATCTCCACTGGGGATACCTAGTAAAGCTGAGGACTGGTCTCTGCATGTGAGGAGGGGTGGGGACGGTGGCCATCGCTCTTTATGACAGTTGGAAAACGGCAATTGGGAAAATATTCCAAGGCACTTTCCGCAAAGGCATAACCAAGTGATTGGGACCCGAATGGCAAAAAAGAATGGAGAAAGAAAATGCAATGGAGGTCAGGAGAGGGCAACCCTGCGGCCCTCCAGATGTTTTGGCCTGCAACTTCCATCATCCCTAGTGGATATAGCTGACGGTGAGGGCTCATGGGAGCTGTAGGCCCATCTATAAAATGCCCCGCAGAATTTAAAAAGGCCGATGACTGGCACACTCTGTTCCCCGACCTGCTGCCCTCCATCCCCTTCATCTCTCGGCACCAGCCTTGCTGGTTAGGACTGAAGCCCACCCTGGTCTGCATGACAGCAAAGGCCTTTCTGCGGGGGAAATCTCACAGTTGGTGCAGGCAACATCCTGCCCTCTTCTTGGCAGGCAGGGAGGGGTGCTTGTCACCCTAGGATGGGGACATGTGGTCCTTTGGGCAGGGGTGACCAGTGACCCCTGTGGTCCTTCGGGCAGGGTGACCAGTGACCCCCAGGTCAGTTGTCCATGACAACTTCTGCTTTGGGCTTTGCAGGAGCTATGGAGGGTGCTTTGGGGGCTGGAGTTGAGCCCATGAAGAGCTTCAGAGTTCAAACTAAAAGCTGCAGGGCGCTGACACAGGATGCTCCAGCCCTCCTTTCTTTGGATAATAGGGGCCCAGTGACCCAGCCACCCACAAGAAAGGATGGCCCAGACCTAGTGGCAGGAAATAACGGCATCGAGAGCGCAACAATGCCCAGGGCGTGTGGGAACCGTGCTTGAACTAGCTGAAAAACTAGGTCATCTGTTCTGCTGCTATTAAAACTAGTACAAATCCCAGCGCTGACATCTTTCATGACACCCAACCCTCCTGTGCCAGAACTCCCACAGCCTCTCTCACAGCTGCAGTTGTTGTCAAGTCGCAGCTGAAGGGAAAGGCCCCCAGTCTCAGAGAGGGGAACAATGCCACATACTCTGGAGTGAATACCGACAGCTGCAAAACATCAGAATTTCGAGCTCCTGGCTGGAGGTGATCCTGGTCAATTACCATCAATGCTAGCCTTACCTGTCTCATTTAAGCAGCACACAATTTCAAGCCCTAATATGCAGGACTCAACCAGTGAAACTTGCTGCAAGATGTGGCAGGGTAGCCTCACTTCCCAACAAGGGTGCCCCAGGTCTGGGTTGCAGATGGGCAGTCAGCCCTGCCAACTCCATTCCATTTCCTGAGTTTTGCTGCTCCCCATAACTGATGCTCAACATTTGAGTGTGCGGAACATGCTCAGTTCTCTTTGGAGCGTTCTATTGCTTTATTAGGTTTTGGCCCCTTAAGTTTTCAAAGTTTTGTTGTACTTTTCTGAATCTCAGGTTCTGCAAAGCATGTGGGGGAATCTCTTCTGTTTCTCAGTGGCCCAATTTGGCTCTAATTCATCTGAGCTCACCACCTGAGTTCAGTATCAGAGAGAGTGAAACTCAATGTACTACTGGAAGCAGAAGTCTGGACTACCTAGATCTTAGCTCTGTATCAATAAGACATTTCTTACATAGTGAGATGAACAGCCTATCCAATCTTCTCCAACCTTGAGCCTTCCAGGGATGTTGGACTACAATTTCCAGCATCCTGCACTTGAGGGATGCTGGAAGTTGTATTCCAACACCTCTGAAGGGTGCCAGGTGGAAGAAAGCTTGTCTCATGGGAAGTTAAAATCAGTGTGAAACATTGAAATAAATAGGAATCGTAAGAAGTCACTGGAGTGGTACTGCTCAGATTCCATTAACTGAATGGGTCATGTGCAAAAGAACTGTCCATTGGATTGTGTCCCACGCTAATTAAAGGGAGAGAATGGGCGCCACTGGGATGTTCCCCATGGTACTAAGTTCAAGATTTCAGAACTGGGTCTGGTCAAGAGTTTCACATGAAAGATTCACCAGGTGTGGTCCCACAGGCAGATGCATTACACACCCACTGGCTCTCAAAAAGTGCTCAGGCTGCATAAAAGATGTAAAACAGGAGATGTGGACAAGGCAGATGGGGCTTTAAGCATACAGGGAAAAATTACTAGAGCAGAAAACTCTGGGCAGTGCAGAGAGCCAGGAGGCGAATTCCTGGGCTTTCTAAGCAGCAAGAAGCTCTAAACCTTGGCACAAAGAGGACCATGTCTCTGGCAAGGCAGAAAGGATGTCTAAGGGGTCCAGTCACCGAAGAATTCAGTGAAAATGAGGTTACACAGCCCAGACGTCCCCTTCTTGGTCAGCTGGGAGGCCCCTTGTCCTACTAGAACACTCAGAATCTAATCCTACACATATCTATTCAAAAATAAGATCTGCCGAGTTCAGTGGGGCTTACCCTGAGGTTCTTGGGGCTAGGATGGACACCTGGTCCTCTCTGGAGTGGCTTTATTTCACCTTTGTAAATGGAAACGTAGGAGTCTGCCTCCAGTCCAGATAAATGCTGAATCCACAGTTCTATTTTTAAAAGTAGCTTTCACATAACCTTTTTCATATCTATGGAATAGAAGGGGCTGTAGCTCAGTGTATGAAGACCAGCTCTACATGCAGGACTCAAAATTCTTACCGGAGACCCCAGAGAAATGCTGCAATGCCCTCTGACAGTTCTGGGTTAAATGAACCCATGTTCTGACTTGAAGGAAGGCTGCTTCCCACATTCCCAAAAATCCTTTTCAGCTGCAGAATCCTTTGCAGACATGATGCAGAAACGGATTGCACAGGCACTAGGTACCAGAATTCTCTTGAACCCAGCATGATCCTGCCTCAACAAGAAACTAGTATTAATTGCCTTTGGGATCATTTTTTTACTCCACATGAAAGTCCCCCAGGCAAGGAAAATGCAGCATTGACCGTTTTTCTGTATAACAAGAGTTAGGCCTACTAACTTAACAAAAATAGTATAAACGTTTTCCCTCAATGGAAACCCAATTCTTTTTGATGGTGATTTTCACTAAGAAAGTTAGTTTTCCTAAGAGACCAAGATTACCTGTACTGAACATTTTTTTGTTTCTTTGGGGCCTTTTGTGGGGATATAAAAGTATCCAGTGGCAGTATTCTTATGGAGATTTCAAGCCCTGGGTATATTTTAGTTTATAGAGAAAAAAGTACTATGGCAGAAGGCTGAAATTGGGGGAATTTTTAGATTAGGCAATTTGTGACAAGATCATATGTTGAATAATAAAGAAACACATTCATCGTGCACAGAAAGGACTTTATTTGTGAGGTACAGGAATAATAAAATTATTCAGGTACAGATGATCTTTTCTCTATCGTAATATTTTTGAATGTGAGTGTCCACACACTTAAAGAGCACCCTCTTTTATTAGTAAAAATCACAAAGTGATGACAAATCATAATTAGGTCAAAGCTATTTCACTAGCAGAGACTATTCACAAGAAATTGTAGGTAGCCACAAAACCACAAAACCGGTTGGAAGATTTGCAGTGTACATTAAATAAACCATGAACTTATAGAGTGCGGAAGGGAGAGCTCGTTTAGAAGGGAGATCTTTTGCAGCAGAGATGCTCTTCCAAATTGCCTCCGGCTAGGGCAAGTCAGTTTGCCCAGCCATGCGCTGCCCGAGACGGCCATTAAGGGAAAGACAGTCCCCAGGGGAAATCACTCCATGATTCAGATGTATGAAGAGCATCACAGCTGCACCCGCCTAAAGCAGATCCAAAATTCTGGAGTATATGAAACACACATTCCAGGATCAGAACTTCCTGCAAAGGGGACAAACATGGTGTGGTACGCATTGGATGGAACGGCACGCAATTATCATGGCGACTGTTGCAGGTGCCAACAAGGAGGCCTTGCGAAACGCGCCACTCCTGAGATAACAGGGCAGGCAGAGACAATTAGCACGCTGAAGGAAGCATGTGCGGGCGTTTCCCATGCTGCTGTTGGGATCTGCCCACTGTGTGCATGTTCAAGTCAGGAAGCCCAGCCTATTTCCTGGGGGACTGGCCGCTCCGGTGCTGCACGCACCGGGTCCTGCGTGCAGAGCTGCATCCAGGGAGTGGACTGATGCTGCACGGTTGCGCTACGCTGAGCCCGGCATGAAGCCTCCTCTGCACATTCCTGAGATCCAGAATAACAGGATGGCCTCTGTGCATGACTGAGCTTCAGTGTTCACAGGTCGAGGAAGAGAGGCCCACGTTCAAGTGTCATTCTGTTTTCCGTCGCTTGCTGGGCATGTCTGTTTCGGCACAGCAGCTTGCTTCCTCTTTCTCCATGCCTGACGTTTGTACCAAAGACAACTGCAATTTTTCAGCTACACTCCAAGCCCAGAGGCACATCTCAACGTGGTGTGGTGTCCATGTTTTCACTGGGTCAGCTAGCAAAGGTATGAAAGAGGAAACCATTTAGCCAAGAACCACCAGCTTCTTTCCACAAAATTCGGGGGGCTCCTGGAGCCACATTCCAGTAATGGGCAGGTCCGAAGGCAAAAAGAGTGGAGCCAAAAAGACCAAAAAAAAATCTGCACATTGTGGCCTGCAGCTACTACCACTAGAGCAAGTCAGCCAGAGCAGAGCAGAATCCACCTTTCAGAAGGGGCAGAAAATGGAACGCATGACAGGAAAGGGGCTGTGGACACCTGGAGAACCCCGGAGAAATGGGCTGAGATGCTAAACACATTAGATATGTTGGAATGCAGGAAGCCCCAGGCTTGTTTTTCCATCTATGACCTAGTCAATAAGCATGTGTAGCCTGTTCAGACACTCTCCGTTACCCTCCAACCCTAATTTTTTTTTTTTTAAGAAGAAAGCAGAGTCACCCTGGTGGGCTTTGGCAGGCCCTTGCTTGTCCAGAAGGTAACACCTGGCAGGTTTATTGCCACTCCATCACCTGCTCCTCCCTGCAAGGTAACCTGGAGGCCCACACTATCTGAGCCCTAGATTTAGCCCCAAATCTAGCTTTGGTCTGAGAAGTAGCAACAGCATTTAAAAGATGGGCAGTGGTGGTGTGGATGAGCGTGCACACCTTCAAAGGTCCCTCCTCACCTTTGTTTAGCTTCTTCACACGGCTTTGGATCTGGTCCAGGTAATGCATGTAATGTTTGAGGGTGTACTGGATCGGAGCAAGGCCTGAGATGGATGCCACCGCTTCGTCAGCCATAAACGGCACAACATCCGGTGCTCCAGCTGCTAGAATTGCTGCAATGGAAGCAGAGACACAGAATGAGATGGAAGACAGCAGCGGGGAACAGCAAACATGATTAGCACCTGATGTCTCCATAGCACCATCTGATGTTACAAAATTCCTATGCAGAAAATAGGAAATGTGAGCACGTGAAGCTCTGGATGCCAAGCCAGGGCGTCAGACGAGCTCATTCATCGCCATCTGCATCCCCTGAGTTGAACCACTGACTGCTGCAGTCACAGATGGAAGAGAGTCCTGGGAGACAAGGCACCAAGCGTCCTTGGTCAAAGCCACGGTGTGGGCCTGGCTGCCTCCCAACCACTGCAGCCCCTGGTGAGGAACATGGGCTCTTCTGCTGTTTAAGAAGCAGCAGGTGGCTGTCGCCACATTCCAAGTGGAAAGGGCCTGTTGGATCATCCCCAGATCCTGGCAGGAAAGGTGAGGAGGAGGAGCAACCAGCCAGCCCGCCAACCCCCAGGGCCCTTCCTACCCGAGGCCGTTGCAGGTCCCACACCCTTCAGCCTGCTCAGTTCACTGATGGCCGCTGCAACATCAGGGAGGAGTTGGAAGCCCTTTTTTGTGCACTGTTCTACCACCTCCTCGGCATTAGTGGCCACCAGTTGCTGCAAGCGAGGACGAAACTTGCCCCTCTGAAGGGAAAAAAGGTCCAACGGTTACTCCGAGCTGTGCATACACTGCAGGTTTCTACCCATTCATTGCATCTGTTTGTGTTACACTTCTATACCACCCAATAGGTGATGCTCTCCCTTAGTGAGATTTTCACCCTGATCAGCATGACAGGGCTTTCTTGATGGCTGCTGCCTGGCTGTGGAGCTCCTTGCAAGGGCGGCTGGACTGACCGTTTTATTCAAAAAGGCAGAGAAATGGGTCTGTTGGGCTAGATGCTGTTTTTATTCTGCAGATCCTGTGTTTCTAATAGTGTCTTAATGCATTTCAAAAACATCATTTTATTCAGGTTTTATTTATAATTATAAGCTGACTATAGTGGGGGTTGAAGAAAGGAAAGGCACAAGTTAAATTAATAATGCAGTTTGTTTCTCCTCAGGATGTAGCTGTAGTATGTTGACGTCCGTTTGTGGGCATTCACTCCTCGCCAGCTTGCCTCCAGGAGTAAACAGGTTGGAAGGAAGAATCTCTAAGAGAGAGTTGTCAGCAAATGGCAAATCCCCAGAATCCTTTGCAGGGGAGCTGGTGGTAGGGAGGAAGATTGTGTGACAAGGTGCACAACCACCCCAAGATACTGGACAACAACTCTCGTCAGCCATGGCCACTGGCCTCGCTGGCTGGGGCTCGTGCGAGGTACAGTCCATCACCTGAAGGAGCATACTTTCTCCAGCCCTAGTTTATACTGTCAATATGGCTTTAAAGGACACGCAACAGAGGTACCTTGGCTCACGAACTTAATCCGCTCCAAGACTCTGGTTGTGACCCAAACTGGTTGTGACCCAAGTCCAATTTCCCCATAAGGTTCAATGTAAATAAGGTTAATCCGTTCGGTAACTATTGTTTTAATCAGAAAAAATGGAAACAAAATGGCAGAGAACAGCAAAGCGACAAAGCACTGTACGGTACAGTGGAGGACCCTAACCTAGGTGGGGGGGGGGTTATTGTTCTGAGGGAGAGCCCCCCTCCATAAGGATGCTGGGGAGATCTCTGTCAGGGGCTTCCTCTCTTCTGTGTCTCTCAGCTGCAGGGTCAGTGTTGGTGAAAAATCTGTCTACGGTCACTGGTTTTTTCCTGCGCTGCATCACCCTCCGGAAATGAGGCCACGTTATCGTTCATCGGATTCAGCACTCTGTTCGTTACAGTTCTGTTGGGGTGGCGCTTCTCAGAGAGACCCTGGCACGGGCGCACTCCTGCAGGGAAGACGGGCGCAGCACAGCACAGCCGCGATCGCGCACGTCTTCCCTGCACGAATGCACCTGGGATCGTGGCCATCTCCCCACTCGGGGGGGGGGGTGAGGAGATGGCTGCGATCTTGGCTGCCACCCAGTGCGGAGTTCGCGACCCAAGTCAAAATTTTCATGAAATTTTTGTTCGTGACCCGACCGATTTGGTCGTGAACCAAGGCATCTGTGAGCCAAGGTAGCACTGTAGTCTCGGGCGGTTGTCCTTCCAAAACTACCATTCTCAAGTTCCTTTGGGCAGAAATCATGACAGTTAAGGCAGGTGACCCAGGGGGCCGAACCGTATGCATCGGAGAGAGCTGCGTAACAAGCATGTCTGAAGTGCATGCTGAACATCTAGGCTGAAATTCAGCGTCAGAGAGAACTAGACCTTGCCCCCAAGAATTGTGCTAAAACTTGGACTAACTGTGCAACAAGGTGATGAAATGACCACGTTAGCTGAGGACTGAATGATGTAATGACCCACAGGGGGGTCTTCTCCTCCCACCCCCCCAGATCTAGTCACTGACTTAGGCCATAGACCTATCCAACATGAGGGTCACAGTAAATGATCCTGTATTTGCAATGTGCTTTTAATATGTGTTGGCCATAAAATGGGGGTCAGCAGCAGCCCCCTGCAGACCTCCCATCAAGGACCATCAGACAGCCAGCACAGACAGCCTTTTCAGCGCAAACCCTCTGGACCTCTCTGCCTAGAGAATTCCATAGCACCCGATCAACAGATCTTTTAAAAAGATCACTCTGACCTGAGTTTTTATATTTGTAATTTATTATGACAATTACATCTCACCCTTTTTCTTCTTGCAACAAACCCGAGGGCCTTATCATGCTCTTCCTCCTCCATTTCATTCTCACAACGCTTTGAGGTTGATCAGGCTGAGAGTCTGTAACTGGCCCAAAATCCCGTGAGCCTCATGGCCTGGGTGAGGACCACAAACACAACCCCCATCTTCCAACTCCCAGTCCATCAAAACAGCCCACCTGCTCTCTTGTTGGCTTTTAAATAGCTGCTGTTTTGAGTTCTTCAGCTGAATTATTTTGTATGTATTAATTATTTGTTTTAACTGCAGGTGGCGCAGTGGTTTAAACAGCTGTGCTGCTGGGCTGGTTGACTGAAAGGTCGCAGGTTCCAGTCTGCAAAACAGAGTGAGTTCCTGTTGCTCTGTCCCAGCTCCTGCCAACCTTGCAATTCGAAAGCTTGAAAATGCAAGTAGATAAAAAGGTACCACTTTGGTGGGAAGGTAACAGCGTTCCGTGCACTGCGGTGTTTACTCATGCCAGCCACATGACCACGCAGACTGTCTGCGGACAAACACTGGCTCCCTCAAGCTAGGAAATGTAGATGTGCACCGCCCCCTAGAGTCAGGCATGACTGGACTTAATGTCAAGGGGAAACCTTTACCTTTTTAAGGCTTTATCCTTTAAAGCAACACATACATTTCTTAAATAATGGGACAGATGAGGTCTCAGTCTCTGCGATAAAGAGGTTTAGCAAGCAAGAATTCGAATCCATAGTTCACTGTCACAACCCTGCCTTTTGGAGATCCATTTAGGGACCCTGGTATACCTTTTCCACAATAACTGACTCTGGTAGACTTACTTACAGAAAGCTTCCATTCCATCAGCTTGATCAGCTCCTGCTTTGTTAAATGCTTTATTTCCCGTCCCATAATAGACTTCGGTAACTCCTCCTGATACCTATGGCAGTAGATGTGGGGAGAGAGTAAGTATGTTGTTTGACATTGGGGAGAAGAGAATGGGTGTGTGTGTGTGAGAGAGAGAGAGCGCACAAGCAACCTTTCCCTCTTTATAGCATGTTTCCCCTTTTATGCAAGGCTCACACAGACAAGAAAGATACTGATAACTTGAGCCAAATCCAGCAAAAGGTGATCCAGTGACCAGAAACTAAATCCTATGAGGGAAGCTTGAAGGACCGGTGCATGTTTGGCCTTCAGAGGACCAAGTGGGGAAGTTTACCAGTTGTCCAAGGCAATGAGGTTTTTTTGTTTGCTTCCTTTGGCTGCGACGACTTCCTGGTAAACATTCAAAACGGCCCGCCAGCGTGCCGGATCATCACACGTGTAGAGTCCCCCTTTTGGCACCATGATTTTGGGCTTCCTGAGGACACAAGCAAAAGGGAAAGCAAGGGCCCATAAGCAGCAGGTCTGGGTGAGAGGGGCTCCTGCAGCAAGAGTGGGCAGCCGCTTGGAAACAGGCGGCCCAGTCCTTCCCGGAGAAGGGCCTGGGGACGCTTAGGAGGCCCAGCGTAGGTGCCGTGGCCAGAGGGTCGCTCCGGGACTCATGAGATCCGAGTCCCGGTGCCCACCGGGTGACTTCGGGCCAGGCACAGCTTCCCAGGCTGGGCATAAAACCGGGAGGAGGAGGGCTGCGTGCTCCGGCCTGGGCTCCTTGGCGGAAAGGTGGGATGCGCGGGGCACAATTAATAAATGCGAGCGCAGGCAGAGCCGGGGCCGCGCAGGGCGCAATCCCCAAATGCGGGAAGCCGCCTTCCCTCGCTCGCCACCGGGCACAAACGCGCGCGCAGCCACCCACCTGCTCTCTTCCCGGCCTCTCGGGGCCCAGCACTCGCCGCCGCGTCCACGCGCCGCCGCCCCTCCCCGCGCGCACCTCGGCCCCCGCCGCCCCCCTCGGGCCCCCTGCCCCTTCAGCGAGGCGGGCGCGCCCCACGCTCCCGCGGCCCCCCTCCCG